ACCAAACCAAAAAATCAAATCAAACCGATACAACTTGAGTGGGTTAGAGTTCACAGAAGGTCAATCGTTTTCAGCTAGGGGTGTTCATAGGTCGGGTTGGGTCGGTTTGAGTCATTTTCTTCAATCGACCCAACCTAGTCGGTTTACTTATTGACTAAACTGAAATCGACCGATCCTGAAGAAAAACCGACCCAAACATTAAGGGTCGGTTTGGGTTGGTTTATTGGTTTAGTCGATTTTTATATATATTTTAAACTAAAATATCTATTTATATTTAAGTTTATTACTCTTTAGTTTTTATGTAAAATCCAAAATATATAATTAAATCGATTATTTTTTATGCAAAACTGATTTTTTTGTCAATATATACTTAAATTTATACAAAACTGAATTAAATATTGTACAATTGTATTATATTTGTATTGAGTTTACTTTTTAGTTTTTATCATAGATAACTAATTTTTTCAAAGTTCAAACAAAACACAAATAAAATATATCAACATTTAACATATAGGGTAGGGACTAATTAATAATTACTTAAACATATAAGATCGGTTCAGTTTGGTAAACCGAGTTGTCGGTTTATTTTTTCATACAAACCAAAACCAACTGGTGGTTTTGAAAAACTGACTAACTCGGGTTAGGTTGGGCCGATTTTGTCGGTTTGGTCAATTTGACATTTAATGTGAACACCCCTAACTTTCAGTTGACCAACTACCCAATCTGACCAGGTCAATTTGGTTGGCCAAATAGCCTATGGCCGAACTAAACCAACTCACCCTGAACACTCATAACTTCAGCTAGATTAATAGTCTCATCTCTGATAAATAAAAATAGTTTAATCTTCAATAATTATTGAAAATTAATAGCAAAAATACACAATTATTAAAAATATATTGATAATGAAAAATACAATAATTATAAAAATACAATAAGTACTAAAAATATATTAACTTAGTCAATAAATAGTATAATCTCAAATAATCAGGGTCGTGGCGGGGCGGGGACCTCAGTCCCCATCCTTGACCCCGACTGGGGATTCCTACTAATCCCCGTTCCTGCCCTTGCCCTACCAAAACAATCCCCACCCCTGGCCCCATCGGGTCGGGGAAGTCGGGTCCCCGTCGGGGATAGGGAAAATTGCCATCCCTAAAGGTGTGTTCTAGTAAATGACCCTAATAGAAGCACATAAGAATATACAATTGTTTTATATTTTTTACTTTTTAAATAATTAATAATTATTCATATTTTATATACTACTTTTAATAAACTTTTTATAATACACAAATGACAATAATTAATTTCATTTAGGTTTATTCATCAAACTGTTGAAACTGACCAACCCGATCAACTTGACTTGAGTTGCTCGGTTTTCTAGTATTTTAGGTCGGCTTTGGTTCAAAAATTTCCCAATTCGATCAAGTTGGATCAGTTTCACTTTGGCCATTTGTAAACTGACCAAAATCGGACGACCTAACCATGGATATATATCAATATTTTATATTCTAAATATAATTTTTAATATGGAAAAGTGGGAAATTTCCCATATTTCATAGTCTGAAATGTTTTATATCATAAATCTAATTTTTAATTTTATTTTTAATAATTTCATTGTAATTTTTAAAATTTAATTTAATTTTTAAGTTCAAATCTTTTTGAACTGATTGACCGAATAAAAAATTCTACCCAAACCGATCCAACTTGAGTGGGTTGGATTTCACAAAAGGTCAATCGGTTTCAACTGACCAACTCCCCAACGTGACCAGGTCAACTCGGTTGTCTAAATAGCCTACGATCGAACTGAACCAACTCACGAACACTGATAATTTTAGCTAAATTAATAGTCCCATCTCTGATAAATAATAATAGTTTAATATCCAATAATTATTGAACATTTATAGCGAAAATACACAATTATTGAAAATATATTGATAATGAAAAAAATACAACAATTACAAAAATACAATAAGTACTAAAAATATATTAACTTAGTCAATAAATAGTATAATATCAAATAATAGTTTAATCTCTAATAAAATTAATCAATAAGTTATAACAAAAATATAATAAATACAATAAGTACAATAAATTAAATTTAAAAGTTTCAATAATAGTAGTTTAATCTCCAATAATTATTAAAAGTATTCTGTTAAATAGGGAAACAAAATAAATTTATACATATCATTGAAAATACATTGATCACAAAAAACAATAAATAATTGTTGAAATACAATAAATATTTATTTTGATATATATAATTATATAATAAATACATATTAAGAGTTTAAAATTATTATAAATAAATATTATTTTTTGAAAGTTATTTTCTCTACTTATTACTTGATATAATTGAAATTAGTTATTACAATATTATGTAAAAATATTAAATATTATTAATTTCAGTATTATGTTATAATTATTTTTCTAATTTTCATGATTTTTTAAAATTTATTACATAATTTCTTTATTTTAATTATTTAAACTCTAGTTTGATAAATATTTTGTTATTTAAAATATTTATTTATTTAAATACTTAAAATAATATGTGAAGCATTTAAATTTTAAAATATGAATTATTTATTGAATTTAATTATCCATAAATCATAATTTATACTATTATTACATAATTTCATTATTAAATTTGTAATATACTAAATTATTATTAATTTCAATATTATGTTATAAATATTTTTCTTCTTTGAAGAAATTTTTTAAATTTATTATATAATTTCGTTATTTTAATTATTTAAAATCTAGTTACGATAAATATGTAGTTAATAAATTAGAGATAATTTGGAGAAAAATGCTCTAGTAAATTAGAGATAAGTTAGGAGATAAATAGGAATTGGAGATGATTTAGGTGAAAGTGGGGGAGGTAGATTAGGATAAATTTGAGGAGAGGAGGTTGTTGGGAACTGGTGGGTAAGAGAGAGATTTTAGATAATTTTTCATAAGGAATGAGAGCATCTCATTGGTTCTTTAAAAAATGAAATGGAATAAAAAAATAAAAAATTCAAAAAAGGAGATGGTAGTTCTATTTTAGTTGGTAAATTTGGTCCTTGTAAGGCTATATCTCTAGGATATGCTGAATTTTTTACATTTCATGTGTTGTTTATTGGATGCTAATCTAGGTTTTTCAAATGTGATAATAGAAAATGACTAGAACTACTATAGTTAAAGTTCTTAATGCATGTTCTTTTGATTGTTCAACAAATGTTTGGCCTATTTTTGAAGATATTTTCAGGGTTCATTTGGTTTATAGATAGTATTAAAATCAGAATTGGAATCACCTATTCCTGACAACTTGGTTCAGTCAGGAATCAAAATCGGATTCTAATTGTTGTTGTTTGGTTTATTTGGAGTTGAAACCGGAATCAACTTAAAATTTTCAATTTTTGAACCGTTTATTTATTATTTTATTACTACTTTATTAATATTTTATCAATATATAAATATTATTTTATTAATATTTAATAATTAATATCTTAGTTTTCATAATTATTTTATGAATATTTATGAATATATTATTATTTAATAAATAATATGTTTTCTTTTATTGTTATTTTAGTAATATTTTATTCTAGTACTATTATTTGATTAATATTTTACCAATATTCTATTATTATTTTAATTATTAATATATTCTTATTTTCTTCTCCTTATTATTATTATTATCATAATATTTTATTATTTAATTATTAATGTTTTATTATTATTTAATGAATTGTTTATTTATATTGTATTATTATTTTATCATTACTTTAATTATATTGTATTAATATTTTATGTATACTTTATGATTATTATATTCAATAATTAATATCTTTGTTTATTATTATGAATTTAATAACCTTTATTATTTTATTAATATCAGGGTTTGATTTTTTTTTCATGAACTCTTTACTTCTTAACAAACTCTAGAATGGGAATCCCATTAAGTGGGACCGCAGTTGTTAATCTTATTCACTACCTCAAACTGCATTTGCTTCTAAAATAAAATTTATGATTCCCCATCTCTTCACCTCAAGGACACCCAGTCTCACTACTATGCTTACAACATCCTTAGTAGATAAACAATTTATCTTTTGACCCACAACTTTGAGTAGAGAGCCCCAAGCATCTCTAATTACCACACCTAGTCCACCTTGTTTTGTTTGATAAATGAAACAATCATCATAATTGACTTTAATGCTGCCTTCCTGGGGTGGAGCCCAACTAACCAGAGATGAACCTCTTGGTGATTGGATATCATCACCCCTTAATCCTTGGATCACAATATTCTTTGAAATTACTACTCTTGGATCTTATGAGACTTGGTTGAAAAACATGTCATTTCCGTTCGTTTTTTGGTAAGTTATTTATTTGGGTAAATGCTATTATCTGTGTAAGTTTGTTTTAGGAAACACTTACCTAGGTAAGTGTATTTACGCATGTTCTAAATACTATTTTAACCATAAAAATTTATTATTAAAAGAGTCATTTTGATCCTATTCAAGTGTTGGAAACTTCCTCTGAAGTGTGAAAGTTATTTACCCACCTAGGAAATGGGTATTACTTACCCAAAAAAAATAAACTTTTTCCAATTCTTACATTAATTTTAAAAAAGAACATAAAATTCTTAATGAATAAGAAAATTCCATTAATCAACTTTCCCCTCTCAAACTAAAAAAAGAATACCCCCTTAGTGCATTTTGCTCTCTCCTAAGACTCACTATCACTGATGACCCATTGGAACCAAGGTTGAATCCACTCTAAGATGGTATTGTCATTTGTGAGGTCAGTACATTATACCCAAGGAGCTTGCAAACCAAGATTCAATCCACTAGTCGTTTGGCTGTTTCTGCTTAGTAATTGTTTGTTAAAAGAAAAAGAAAGTGATTGACTTGTCCTCTTTGGGCAAATTAGAAATTAGTAAGGATATATTTGGCATTTCATCGATATGGTTGGTAGTCGACATTAACCTTCTTGGTTCCTTTCGTTGAAGCCTTCCTCCTCTATATAAACAACTCTTCTACTAAAAGTCTCTGCCCAAGTACAGAAACCAAGCTGAGGCTTAAGCTTTTTCCTGGATTTCTCTCTTTCTCTCTTTCTCTCTTTCTCTCTTTCTCTCTTTCTCTCTGCTAAATCAATGGCGGCCACTGTTCATTCACTTTTACTTCAAAACCCAAATCATTCCTCCACCATTTTGAAAAACCCCTATTCCAATATAGCCTTCCCTTCCCAGAGTGTGAACTTCATGACCCCAACCCGTTCGAACAAGTCCCTCTGCATCACCTGCACCACTCAAGTGCAAGATCTCTCCACCACGGCCCCTGCATCCCAGTCACAAGATCGTGTCTTCAACTTCGCTGCCGGTCCGGCGACTCTTCCCGAAAACGTGTTAAAGAAAGCTGAGTCGGAGCTCTACAACTGGCGGGGTTGTGGTATGAGCGTTATGGAAATGAGCCACAGAGGTAAAGAGTTTCTTTCTATTATTCAGAAGGCAGAGGCAGATCTGCGCGCTCTCCTGAATATTCCGGAAGAGTACGCGGTGTTGTTCTTGCAAGGCGGTGCCACCACCCAGTTCGCTGCGGTTCCGTTGAATCTGTGTAAACCAGAAGATCCGGTTGATTATTTGGTTACTGGGTCTTGGGGAGACAAGGCTTTTAAGGAAGCTCAGAAGTTCTGCAAATCCAATGTTATTTGGTCTGGGAAATCCGACAAGTATACGAAGATCCCTTCTTTTGATGAGTTGGAACAGAACCCAGATGCCAAGTATTTGCATATTTGTGCCAATGAGACGATTCATGGAGTTGAGTTCAAAGAATATCCAACCCCCAAGAACAAAGACAGGATCTTGGTTGCTGATATGTCTTCTAATTTCTGCTCGAAGCCCGTCGACGTTTCGAAATTCGGTATCATTTATGCTGGAGCACAGAAGAACGTCGGTCCATCTGGGGTCACCGTAGTGATTATCAGGAAGGATCTGATCGGAAATGCCCAACCCATCACGCCTGTGATGCTTGACTACAAGATCCATGCCGAGAACAATTCTCTTTACAACACCCCGCCTTGTTATGGAATCTATATGTGCGGTCTCGTCTTTGAAGATTTGTTGGCACAGGGTGGTTTGGTGGAGATTGAGAAGAAGAATAAGAAGAAGGCAGAGATTCTATATCAAACCATTGATGAGAGTGGCGGTTTCTACAGATGCCCAGTTGATAAATCGGTTAGATCGTTGATGAATGTTCCGTTTACCCTTGAGAAGTCAGATCTTGAAGCAGAGTTCATTAAGGAGGCAGCCAAGGAGAAGATGGTCCAGCTCAAGGGTCACAGGTCTGTCGGCGGGATGCGGGCCTCCATCTACAATGCGATGCCATTGGCAGGGGTTGAGAAATTGGTTGCTTTCATGAAGGATTTCCAAGCAAGGCATGCATGATGCAGCTATATACCTCAATCTAGTCCAGAATATCATGCTATGAGCTGATTTTTGTTGTTGTTTTGTTTGTTCTTCTTTTCATCTTCTCTGTTGCACTTCAATCTAGTCCAGAATATCATGCTATGAGCTCATTTTCAGTCAGATTTTGTTATGGGTGATTGTCAAATCTCCTCTATCACTGCTATAGTTCGGTTGAGTGTTCGTTCCTTTATATGATTTACAAAGATATATGAGAAACCCAATATTGAATTATCAGACTTTGTTGGTCTGCATGGGAATTTCTTGAACTGATACTTCTGTTGGTGGTAATCCTAATTCCTCCATCCATGGATCATAGAAGTTTATTACAGTTCCTTTCTTTTCGGTTCTTTTCTGGGGATCATGGCAGAGTTATGCTTATTTGCCTAATACATATTTCGAGTTGATTCAGCAAGGTGGATTTCAGCCATTTTGGCATGCCTAAATTAACGTACAAGAGAGAAGAACAAGTTAAAGCTGTAAGAGTTGGAAAAGACAACAAAACCCAAAGATTATTCATAGAGCAAATTTTTTGACAGAGTTGCAAGTATCACTTTGGTTCTTGAAGCCAGAACATTGTAATTTTTTCTTTTTCTTATAGTTAAAATGTTCAATATCAGTTCTTAAAAAGGTAACTCTTCTTCTTGATCAGCAACTGCGATCAAAAGGAAATATTGAGAAGCAGAAAAATAAAAGAGAAAGCTACATCCATGGGCGCTCGAATGAGAATCACCCATGTACAAGATTGCAGCTTGGTGTGGTCTAGACCAGTCTGAGTTGTTAGTTTAGTCTGTAGTGTATTTGTGTAGTAGTGTACTTGAGGTGGAAGAGATGGATTGGTCTTGTGGTGTTTGTTTCTTTGTTCTGGTTTCAATGAAATCTTTCCTGTGCTTGTTCCATTTAAGCAATAATTCTGGTTGCCTCTGATTTTGCCTCTCTATACAAGAGAGCGAATATTTCAATCTAGCTTTGTTTCATATATTGTTTTTTTACATTGGTACAAACTGGTTGAAGGACCTTTCTGCAAGAACTCGCCCCCCTTTTATATGTTTTCATTGAATCCTGGTGCTTGGGTTAATCTTAATCTGCAAGGAGGGTTTTTCAATTAGAACCGCTTAGACCCTCTGTCTTTGAACGCCAAAAGAAACAATGTGGGTTGTTTGATTGAGAAATTCCACCATGGTGGATCTGGAGTCCCTGCTCAAGGTTGTTTTCATGTCCCTACAGAATTCCTCTCTTTGCCTTTAATCTATCTCTTTCACCTCAAGTTGGATGGCCAAGTTTGGGTTCATGATCTCCATACTGCATGGCCTAGATGCCTCAAACCAGCTAGAAAACAGAACAAACATAACAGAAAACAGGAACAAAGACAAGAAGAAAAACAGCAGAGCTATACATCTACTTACTCATTCCAAATCCCAAATAATGATCTTAAGATTGAAACTCTAGAAGCAGTTTAATTATTTAGGGTCCATTTGTTTTGGTTGGAAACTGGAATAGGGGTCTGGAATCCAAATCAGAAAAGCCAATTCCAACTGTTCAGTTGAGTGGAATTGAAGTCTGATTCCGATTCAAGGTGAAATGGCAAACCCCCGTTTCAGGGAACAGCCATTCCCTCGAGGGAATGAGAATTTGATTCTAACTCTGAGGCATGTCAATTCTGACTCAATTTCAATTCTGATTCTGACTGACTGGAAATCAAACGGACCCATATAGTTAATGTCATCCATTCTCGAATTTTAAATTAGCCACGTGGCATGTACATTGCATTTGCAATGTGCCACATAGAAAGAAGAGATTTGGGAGACCCTAGAAAGATCTGGGCAATTTCTGTGGTACATTCCATACCATGGGAACCTTTTTTCTGGTGATCTCAAGAGTAAAATATAATTATTTTTTATTCAAGGAAAGCCAACAACCTTAGGACTATGGATCATCGTAAGGTCAGTGTACCCACGTGCACCCACCTCTGTCCCCACCCCTTTTCCCTTTCTCTAGATGATTCTATTAAGATTCTATTTGGTGTATCTTTTTGTGTAGATTATTGATTTTTTAGAAATTTGATAATTTGCGTTTTGGTTTTTTCTCTTTTGGTTGAGAAAATATTTATCTATCAAAAGCCCTAGTCTCGAAAAGACGTGAAAAATTTATTTTGGATTATTTTCAGAAAACTTTAAATCTTATACGAAAAGATATGCAAAAAATATACTACAACCAAATGATTTTCAAGCTGTTAAGATCTTGATGCAAAAAATTATATTATTTTTTTATTATCAAAATTTCTAAAAAATCTTTTAAAAATAACTCGTCAAACGGCCCCCTAAATTATGCTGTGTTGGATCGATGTAGAACGTAAGCGGTGATGAATGCGCATATATAATATGGACAAAAACTCTAGTCCCAGTAATAAAATATGTTTCCTCTCGTGTCGTTAGTCGTTACTTATATACATTTCATAATATACAGATTCTCCAATGTTGCAAGAATTCAGAGCAAAGCTTCTTTGGACAGAGATTTCCTTTTCATCTAAATTCTTCCAAGCGTCCTAACGGTCTCCCCTGCCTTGCAAGTTGCAACTATGGGTGGACACCATTAACAGATTACAGACCAAAGTCAGAAAGAAGGGTTCTTTGCAACGCAAAAGCCACAGATCAGCAACATGATAAGCAAGATGGAATTTAGGAATGTAAATGGATTGAATTTGAATTGGTTCTAGTAATATTTAAATTCGAATCCTATTAAAAATCTTGATATGGGACCGAAATCAATATTTGAATTTGAATTTGATTAAATATTTGAATATTTAATTTAATTTGAATTTAACTGATTAATAATTTTAGGTAATTAATAAATATATAAAATAAATATTTTATTTATATAAAGTATATAAATATATAATTTAGTTATATATATATAAATATATAAATATTTTATATATTATATATAAGAATTAAATAATCGATTGAATTCGGATATTTATTAAATCAGATTAGATCATATCTAAATTCAACTGATTATTATATTTGAATTATCCAAATTTGATTTAATTATATTGAATCTCAAAATCAAAATTGGATTTCCAAATACCATTAACACAATGACACTTCTAACGGAAACCATATCCAAGCAACTCATTTGCTTATGTGAATTGGGTTTCAATAGACTTGTCCCATGGAGTTAGGGCTATCAATGGCTCAGTTCTACCCGATAGGCCTGAACAGGATGAAATTATTGTAGCGATTCTAGTTCCATAATTTTCTTCTGATTAATAATCAGTTCTAATTCTTGCCTATCCTGAACCAATTCAAACTCAAAACAGATTATTTTATTAAATATGTATAATATTTTCTTAATTTTCTTATAATTTTAATCACATTTTATGTTTGAAATGGAAAATTTGAGAGATAATAAATAAGATAATATTAGTTAAAATGTTTAATTTATTAACATATAAATAATTTAGTATTTTTATCATTTTTATTAAGGTTTTATTATCCAAATTTAAAATTTAAGTTATTATTTAAACAAACATAGTTTTCTATATACTTAACTATTAACCGGCATGGTTCTAGGTACTTGATTTGTTCCAATTAATAATCAGTTCAGGACTAGTTCTACCTAGACCCAACCTTTTGACAGGTATACATGGAGTTCAATTTTGCTACTAACACTGCCCCAACAAGTCATTAAATCGCACATTGGGAACAAGAGAGATATTCCCGATGTGTTTTGTTGGGACAGTCTTAAAAGTGTTTTATTGACAGCAAATCCTTCCTACCCCTCATGAATAACAAGAGAGATATTCCTGATGTGTAGCTATTGGGACAGTGTTGGGAATGTTGTGCCACTCTTGCCCATTATCAATAAATATCTTTACCTTATTCAATAATGACTTTTCTAAATCAAAATTATAAAATTTCAAACCTCTTTTGTTTCCTTTCTAACATCATTTTGAGAAAAATAAAAAAAAAATGTCTACTTGGTCCATTAGCTTTTGCCTAAATAAGCATCAAACCCCTTTTTTATTATATTTTCATTTTTTTTAATGATGGTTTTGAATTACTATTTGGTTTATTAAGGCCTTGAGAAATTGTCTACTGATCATTTATTTTATCAAAACCACACTTCTCATTGAAAACCTAAATTTATATATTCAGTTCTATCCTTAACCTTAATTGAAGAAATCCAAAAAAAAAAAATTTGAAAAGTTGCTTTGGCCGGACCCCAAAACTGACGAATATCTATGACTTTTTTGGACTTCACGGGGCTACACAATAGGGATAGTCAATCCCCTCCCTTACAACTATCTAGAGAATTAACCAACTGAGCCACCATTAATTGGTCGACTTTCTCATTCAGTAATCTTATAAAGGGTTCGGATCTTCTATTAAGGGTGTAAACAGATCAAATTCGAATCAGATCAGGCAGTATTTAAATTATTCGAATTCGATTCGATTATATCTAATCTCGAATTCAAAATCAAAATTTTGAATGTCATTGACACCCTTATCTAATATCCACTACTTGTTCCCACATCTTTATCAACATAACATAACAGTTGTGCATTGGGAATATTTCCCTTTTTATTCATAAGGAGATCTTCCTAATATACGATATAGATGTGGAAACAAGTAGTGGGTAGAACATCCAGAGGCTCTTATAAAATCTTTTAAAATACTATGGAAGTGACAAACAAAATTCCATTTAGATAAACCTTTTATATCAGCTTTCTGGGCTGTAAAAGACACAACACAGTTAAGCCCAAAATGGAGGCTTTGTACTTTGGGGCCCTGAAAATACAAATCTTGAAGCTTATCCAAACGCAACTAAATAACCTGGACTTGTTGGCTTATTACATTTCCACCTGTAAAATCTTACACGTAGAATTAGGCTATTAGTTTTGGACCAGAACTCAGCACATGGATTGAAGGAGGTGGAATGCAGAGAAAAGTGGATTGCAGGTTTTGGCTTGTCTGCAATGTTTCATTGCAACAATATACGGAAATTTTTGTCCAAGCTATATGACATGTGAGTTTGCAGGTGTAACATGGCAGAGACAAAAAGAAATACAACTGGGGACAATCAAATTTCAAAGTATCAATACACCTAATATATACATTTCATAAACATGCAGCATGTTCCACTTTTTCTTAATGTTTTTTATCTTTCTTTTTCTTCAAAATTTTTTAGGGTCCATCTTAGTTCTGATATCCCTCAAAATCATGGTTTTCAAAATCGG